TCTGAGTAGCTTACAGGAGTTAAGAGTCTCATGAACTTTCCTGCCTGGGCTGGCCTTGAGCTGCAGTTCTCAGATCTCAGAACCCCCCCCCCTCCCCCCAGTCTCTAGGATGAGCCCCAGGTCATAGGAACTTTCAAGTTCCTCCTGAGGGGATGGAAGCCAGGCCTGAGGGTGTGTCATGGAATGTTCTACTGCCGAGCCACACACAAGGCATCTCAAGTCAATTTTTTTTCCGGTTGCTCTGTGCTCTTGCTTGGCGTCTTCACTCAAGGCTGGCTCCCTACCACTTGGGCATGGCTCCATTTTGGGCTTTTTGGTGGTTAACTGGAGGTAAGAGTCTCATGGGCCTTTTTTTTCCCCCGGGCTGGTTTTGAACTAAGGTCCTTAGCTCTCAGTCTCCCGAGTAGCTGAGATTACAGGACTGATCCAATAGTGCCTGGCTACTTTAAACCATCTTTAGGTGACATGTTGTCTAACGTAAATGCTGCACGCCTGTAACTCCAGTGTTCCAGAGGATCCCAAGTTTGAAGCCGCCAGCGGCGCTACATAGGAGACAAGGAACAAAGTCCGTGCAGGACTAAAGCTGTGGCCCAGCGCTAGAGGGCTTGCCTAGGGGGTGTGCAAGGCCCTGGGCTCCCTCCCTAGCACTGTAAAAACACAGTCATTACAGGAGTTTAATACAGGAGCTTTGGACTGTGATTGAATGGGCCGATGGAGACCCTGGGGAGATGAGGCAACAGCACCGTATTTACCAAGTGTCTCCTTCCTAATAATGCCTCTGGGCTTCATCCAGTCTTCCATCTATAAAATGGGCACAGGCGCAGGGAACCAACAGGTCAGGTCTGGCATCCTACTACTGAGGATCACAGTTCAAGGCCAGCCCCCTTCCCCCCACGGGGAGTTATGAGAAGCCATGTCAACCGATGACAAGCTGGGTAGGGTGATATATCTGGGTCACATTAGCTATGATGTCAATATACACAGGAGGATCATGTACAGAACGCCCCTTGCAAAAAGTAACACTCTGATTATTTCCAACCTAGCAAGGAGAAGCCCTGAGGCCAAACACCAGGGGAGGGAGGGGCTGCCAAATGCTCAGTGTCCAGGCAGCGCCCCCTCCAGGGCCCCCAGCGTCGGACAGCGCCACGTCCTGACTCGGCAGACACCCCAGCTCTCTCCGCACTGCCACCCTTGGCCCCCCCCCCCCCCCCCCGCCGAGTTTGGTGAGGGGCTGCCCCACCCTGGAAAGCCAGCAAGGCCTAAGCATTCCCCACATGACCCCCACTTAGCAGATGGGAAAACCCAGACTCCTAGCTGGGTCTCAGGCGGCATGAGGCACAGAACTCACCTCTGCCCACTACTGCGAGGCTCCCCCTCTGCCCCGCCCAGAAGCCAGACACAGCCGACCCAATCAAACACCCAGCACCGACCCTCCACTCATCACCTCTACCACCTAGCCCAGTACCCACTCCAGCCTGCCGCCCAGGCCAGGGCCACCTCACAGCGGCTGTCCAAGGAAGGCTTTCACCAAGGGGACACAGGACAAACGGGGGGGGGGGGGTAACCTGGGCAGCTGGGGAGACTAGAGGAAAGGGGCATCTAAAGTAGGGACAAGTGTGTCACACAGGGATAGCAGCTAGAAAGACTGAAATGAGCTCAAAACTGGACAAGGAGCCAGGTGCTGGTAGCTACTCAGGAGGCTGAGATCTGAGGATCACGGTTCAAAGCCAGCCTGGGCAGGAAAATCTATGAAACCTTTTTTTTTTTCTTTCAGCTATGGGGCTTGAACTCAAGGCCTGGGCGCTTTCCCTGAGCTCTTCTGCTCAAGACTAGTGTCTACCACTTTGAGCCACAGCACCATTTCCGGTTTTCAGGTGGTTCACTGGAGAGAAGAGTCCCACTAGACTTTCTTGCCCAGGCTGGCTCTGAGCCACCGTCCTCAGCAGATCTCAGCCTCCTGAGTAGCTAGGATGACAGGCGTGGCCCATGAGACTCTTTATCTCCAATGAACCACCAGAAAACTGGACTGGCGTTGTGGTTCAAGTGGTAGAGTGCTCTCCTTGAGCAAAAGAAGTTCAGACAAAGAGCCTAGGCCCAGAGTTCAAGCCCCAGGACCGACAAAAACAAAAAACAAAGCAACTTAGACAAGTGCTCGGAGCAGTCAGGGAAGGAAAGGGTGGGCAGAGGGGAAAGGGGGGCTACCTCTCGGGGTTCACTGCAGACCACCACCTCCGGCATGGCTCGGGTGTCCCTCTTGGGCCTGCCAGACTCCCTTTCTGTCACCCACTCTGGTGATCATGGACTCCGGGGGCAGCCCCCCCCCATCCCATGCCTACAGCTGACCCCTCTGGCTGCCACTTGCATTCTGACCTCCAGGCCACCCAGCAGGAAGCCCAGCCGGGCTCTCCCTACCTGCAGGTGGCAATGAGGTGCGTGTCTGGGCCCCGCTGGGTCCAGTCTCACTCCTATCCTCGCTAAGACAAAATGTTTCGAGCACTTAGCAGGAGCCTGGCACACACTCAATACGAGCTTTGAATGCGTTGTCCTGTGGCCTGGAACCCCCTCCCCCCCAAGCAAACTTACTATTCAGATCATGGCTCTCCCGGAAGCCTCCCTGACCACCCCCTCTGCCACGGGCCTCTGCCTCCTGCCGGCCTCACACCCAGCTCTGCATAGGGCAGGGAAACAAAACTGTCCCCTTGGGCCAGGCACTTGTCCCATGTGCCTGTGAACCCCAAGTTCTTACTGCAAAGTGGTCGGCTTCTGCTCTGGCCCAACCACCTCTTTGCCTGTCCTTGGTATCCCCACTCAGGGACAGGCCTGGGAGCAGGGCTGCGCAGCCTATGCTCCATCAGGCAGCCATGGCCCAACCAGACAGGAGATAAGGTCCTCTATGCATTCAGTTCAGACTCAAAAGACAAGGGCAGCATCAGAGGATGCAGAGAACAAAGGCAAGTGCAAAGGCCCTGGGGTGGCAGTACAATTACCACTGAGGAGGCGAGGGGGGCAGTGGGGAGAGTGGGCTCCCTGGGGATGGGGCTTCAAGGAACAGCAGTCATAGCCACAGACCAGTTGTGGGAAGGGAACAACCTGCAGGGGTCAAGCTCTCAATGAGGGGCAGCTGGCCCTGCCCCCACTCCTCTCACAACTAAGAGGCCAGCAGGGCCCAGGTGCTGGGAGGGGAGGTTTGCAGGAACTACTGGGCGACACAACAAGCCACCACCAGACTGAAGAACCAGCAGCTACCACTTCACCCAGCCGCCTGCCGCTCCTGTCTCAGGTGCTAAGGATCTCAGAGCCCACGAACACTGTGCTCACAGCCCTGCCATGAGTCCAAACAGAACAAGCAGCAGGCAGCCTGGCAGGCAACCAGCTTCCTGACCCCCTGGCCTCGCTGCTCCCACGGGGAAATGGGAGAGAAGAGGGGCCCAGGCTGGAGAGAAAGAAATGCCCATTGCTCCAGTCCCCGGGGACACCAGGGAATGGCAGCTAGCCTGTCTGTGAGGGGACTGTCACCCCCTCCAGGAAGGACATGACAAAAGGCCTGGGCCAAGAAAAGTCCCAGGAGGGAACTGGCGAATAGGAGCCCCCCCCCCACACTCATGTCCCCAGAGAACAAACTTGTCCAGGCCACTCGGGGTTTGATCTGAGGGTAAGTCACCTCGGCTTTTTCTTCTGGACTAGGCAAGGTAGCTCCCTATAGGGCTTGGTCCAAGAAAGACCTCAGAGGAAGATCCCAGGACTGGAAACCCCAAAAGGTTGGGCCAGGTAGTAGGGACCAGAATGGATTCCCTCTGGCTCTACCTGTGGACACTCTCCCCTCCCCCAAAAAATCATATCTGCAAAGTTCTTCATCTCCAAGGCCCACAGAACTCAGGCCAGTGAGCTCACGCCTGGAAGGCTACTATGGAGATGAGGAGGTCGCTTCCCATGTACTAAACCCGAGTTTCCAGGTTCCAATCCCCCGAAGTGGGGCGAAGAATTCAGGACTCCGGATTCCTCCATTCTTGAGTTTCTGCAGGGCTCCTGGGGCGGGGGTGGGAGGGAGGGCCGCCGAGACCGGAAACAAGATGCCCGAGGTAGGTGTGCGAGTCCCTGTCCCCAGCTGCCCACCCGGGCGGCCGCCCACCCGCAGCCTTGTGCCTGCCTGCCGGCGGACTGGCAGAGGCCTGGGAGATGACGCGTAGGAGGAGGGACAGCGCCCTCCCCCCCGCAGCGCGCGGACCCCCGGTGTGGCCAGGGTGTGCGGCGACACATCTCGGCATTTCTGTTCCGGTCACACTAGTTTTTCTCGACTTGTTCCCACATCCTCAGCCCGGCTCGAAGGCCCAGCCTGGGCATCCACACAGTCCCGAGCCGTACCTGATCGCTCCCCGCCATCTGCCAGCCCCCCCCCCCCCCCCGCCCCATCTCCGGGCCCTGACCTCACGTGACCCCCGGCAAACATCCCCGGTATCGCCGATCCGCCCCCGGCCCGCGCTGGCTCCGCCCCCGCCCGCCAGGCCCCACTTCCGGGGCTTCTCCGCGGCCGCCCCCGGGGCCTGTAACCTGACCCACCCACCTCCCGCGGGCCGGACGGTACCTGCAGGCCCCGCCCCGCCCCTCGGGCCGCGCGCCGCCGCCTCCCCTCCCCCCCGGCCCTCCGCACTTCTCCCTCCCCCGGCCCAACTTCCCGGGACCCCCCCACCTACCCCGGTTCCCGCCCCCCCCGAGTGTGAGTGAGGGTGCGTGCGTGCGGTTCGGGGGGGTCCCCGGCCCGGCCTCCGTCCCCCCCCCCCGAGGCCCGCGGCCGGAGGCTGGACGCCGCAGGCCGCCCGCGGTGGCCGGGCCTCCCCGCCCTCGCCGGCCCGGGCACGGGGCGGGCTGCGGGCCCGGCCCCTCCCCGGCCCGGGAGCCCCCTCCCCCCCGGTTCCCGCACGGCCCTCGGCCGGAACCTCGGATGCCCTCGGGCCGCCCCGGCGGGAGGAGGCCGGAACGGGGCCTGGGGCGGGTCGGCTCACCTGCGCCGTGGCCGCGCTCGGGGCGCTCCCGGCGGGCTCCGCAGCGGCAGCTGGGGCCGGGCCTGGGCCCGGGGCGCGCCCCCCTGCGCCTCGGCCTCGGCCTCCGCCTCCGCGGCCTCCGGGGCCTCCGCCTCAGCAGCAGCGGCAGCCGCGGCGGCCATTCATTGTGGGCCAGGCCGCCCCAGCCGAGCGCCGAGCGAGCGCACGCCGCGCCGCCGCCGAGCCCGGGTAGAAACGGCCCGGGCCCCGCCCCCGCCACGCCCCGGGACACGCCCCTTAGGCCGCGCTAGCCGAGCTCCGAGCGCACCCTCTCCTCACCAGCTGCGTCTGTTCCTCCCTTTGCCAGCTCAGGGTCTTCTCCAGTAGGTGGGTTCTGTAGACCAGACCTGCACCCCGCCATGATCTAGTCCCGTGATGACGGACAAGTCTCTGGCCTTCCCGAACTTTAGCTTCCTGTAAAATGAAAATAGTCATTGCTTACGCCATTTAAAGTCCTTTAATGGAATTAGGTAGTTGCGGGGGGGGGGGGGGGGAGGGTTGAAGAAAACTTGAAGATCGCACAGCAAGTGATGACGAGTGCAGAGATTTAAATTCAGGCTCAAGAAGCGACAATAAGGGCTGAGACTTTCAGGAATGTTTACATGGTGCCAGCTTCTGTTAGCAATTCACCAGCACTAACCTAAACGTCTCTTCACAACCCGTAACTAACATTAAGCAGCGCTGACCGTTTTGCAAACTGGGGGTTGTGGGTGGGAGTGAAGCATAGAATTAAGAACAAGTAGCAAAAGCTGGGCACACACCGGAGCTGAGATCAGAGGATCGAGGTTCAAAGACAGCCCAGGCAGGCAGGAAAGTCCATAAGATTCTTATCTCCAGTTAACAACAACAAAAGTGGAAGAAGAGCTATGGCTTAAGTATAGAATGCCAGCCTTGAGCATAAAAGCTCAGAGACAGTGGCCAGGCCCTGAGTTCAGGTCCTAGCACGCGAGCGCACACAAACACGTACAAGCAGTGCTGGGACTGGACCACTACACGCTCTCCCCACTTCCAACACTGGTTACAACCCGCTGAGGGTTTACTGTGTTAAGAGGCTGCGTTATACTTTCCAGACATTTCGTCCAGTAACCTTTGCCCTTCCTTGAAAGCAGAGATTCAGATACAACAAGTAAGGAAAGTGAGAGCCTGAGGGGTGAAGTAACGTGCCCCAGACCACGTGGTGGGACAGATATTCAAACCCACTAATTGGATTCCGGAGCCGCGGTTATCCCTGCAGGGTGCTGCTCTAAGTTTGCGCAAACAGCACCCAGGAGACGACCACTAGGGGTTAGCTCCCCCGATCGAAGGCCCTATTTCTCTAAACACAATACTCTGTTCTGTGCAATGGGACCAGCGACTCTTTCCCTCCAGGTTTGGGAAAGCCGGCTTCACCCGTGCCACACAGTCCACACGCGTCCTTTAGCCAGGAAGCTTGACCCTGGCCGCCCGCCGTAGCCGGCGCCTCTGATTGGCTAGCCGCCGTCACGTGACCCGCCCTCCCTCCGGGCCAACATGGCAGCGCCCTGGCCTTGATGCGGGCGGCGTGCACCGAGCCTGGCTGGGTTCTGCGTGCGGTGACGGGGAAGGTGAAGAGTCGAGGGGGCGCGGGGGGGGGGGCAGGGGGTGGACTGCAGCGAGGCTTCCCGGGGCCCCGCGGTGTCTAGAGCCCCGGCTCTTTAAGACGTGTCCCCATCTTCCTGGATTGCAGCTCGGCCTCGCTCTCTCCCCCCCCCCCCCCCCCGGTCCCCCGGAGGAGGCCGGCGGGGCGCGGGCCGCGGATGTCCGTCCTGCGGCTGAGCGGCGCTCTCCGTTCCGTCCGCGGCCTCTGTAGAGCCCAGTGCATGGACGGGGCGTCGCCCCCGGGGCCGCCGGCTCCAGCCGCGCTGGAGAACGGCTCGGGGCCCCGTGAACAGCGCCCGCCCGCCGCCCCGGAGACGACAGTCACCGAGGGCGCCGCCACGATCGTCTTCCCCAGCGCCAATGAGGTCTTCTACAACCCCGTGCAGGAGTTCAACCGGGACCTCACGTGAGCAGGGGTCAGCCCGGCAGAGGGGGAGTGGGTCGGTGAGATCGGAGGTATTACCGGAATACGTCCCCGGCTGTCCGCCGCTGGAAGGCCAGTATCCAGGAGATAGAGGCTTGGCAGGAAGAAATCGGGTTTAATCAGCGGCTGGCATCTTGGAAGATGGACCCATTCAGCCACAAAACTTCATCCCCCCCCCCCTGGTGCCCGCTCCGGGTTTTTATGGGGAGGGAGAAGGAGGAGCTGGGCCAGAAGAATTACAAGCCTGGTGGGGGTCTTTGTCCTCCTGGGCGTGTGTGTCCTTTTCTGTCCTCCTCAGGAATTTTTCAGTCGCCCTCCTGGGGTTCGTTCTTGTTATTCGGAACGGACCGATCACTTACTTGCAGACTTTTCTGCGAGTTAAGCTTCACACCGCTTACATGCTTTGTGTTAATGCATTGAAATAATGATTTAAGAAGGTCCTCTGATTGCAGACATTATCTGCTGTCGTGTGTGTGTGTGTCCCTACTTAGATTTAAACTCTGGGCTGTGTCCTTTAGGTCAAATCTGGCACTCTGAGCCCACTTGAACCATAGCTTCACTTCTCACTTTTTGCTGGACTTGAATGTCTCAGGGACGTTCTCCCTGGGCTGGCTTTAAACCGAGATCCTCAGCTCTCCTGAATAACTAGGATTACATGTGTGAGCCACTGACACCCAGCTGTTCTGGGGTTTATGAACCTGAAGAAAAAAAATTAGTTAACCTCTCAATCATTCAGTTGGGAGTTTTCGGTAGAATTGAGCATGCAGGACAAAAGAAAGACAACTGTGGCTAAGAGAAACTGTAAGGGAATGCAAGCCTTGATCTGTTACAAAGGAAGTAAGCAGATTCTTCTCTCATCAGGTGTGCAGTAATTACAGAGTTTGCTCGAATTCAGCTTGGGGCCAAAGGAATCCAGAGTGAGTACAGGTTCAGGCTCCGGTGTTTATGTTTGGGGGGGGGTGTTATGAAAACCTCTCTCCTTACCTCACTCTGATGTGCCCTAGGTTGTTTTTTGTTTGTTGTTTTTTGTCAGTCGTGGGGCCTGAACTCTGGGCCTGGGCACTGTCCCTCAGCTCTTCAGTTCAAGGGGAGCGCTCTACCACTTAAGCCACAGCGCCACATCCTGCTTTTTCTGCTTATGTGGTGCGGAGGAATCAAACCCAGGGCCTCATGCATGTGAGGCAAGCACTCTATCACTGAGCCACCTTCCCAACTCCAGTTGTTGTTTTTTGTTTGTTAGTGCCTTTGTGCCAGGCCTTGAATCTCAGGGCCCAAGCACCGTCCATGAGCTTTTTCCACTCAAGGCTGATATTCTACATTTTGAGCCCCAGCTCCACTTCCAGCTTTTTTGGGGTCCTTAATGGAAATGAAAGTCTCATATTCTTTCCTACTTAGCTTTGAACTGAGATCCTCAGATCTCAGCCTTCTGAGCAGATAGGATTACAGGCATTAGTCCCCCAGTGCCCTGCACACACTAGCGTCTGAACAAGACATTTTTCCATGAATCTGAAGGATTGTGAACGTTAAGGGGAGGTTTCTTATTGATGAGCTGGGGTGTAGTTCCAAGTGTGGAGGCCCTGGGCTGGGAAGGTGGCTTAGTGGAAGAGCACTTGCCTTGCATGCCTGAGGCCCTGGGTTCGATTCCTCAGCACCACATAAGCAAAAAGAAAAAAGCCGGAAGTGGCGCTGTGGCTCAAGTGGTAGAGCACTGGCCTTGAGCTGAAGAGCTGAGGGACAGCGCCCACGCCCAGAGTTCAGACCCCACAACCGGACCAAAAAAAAAAAAACACAAAAAACAAGTGTGGAGGCCCTGGGGGTTCAGTCCTCAGTACAGGGAGGGGGTGAGGGAGGTGGAAGGAGCATCTGAGTCCTTGGCTTGTCTCTCCTGTAACTGCAGTCAAGGTGCCAGGTGAGCAGGACCTGCAGAAAGTGGTTGTGGACTTGTCAGAACAAGAGGAAAAACTCAAACCAAAAGAGGGTGAAAACCTGGCTCCACAAGACCAGCCTCGAACAGCTGCCGCTGAAGAGATCTGTGAGGTAGGGCTGAGCAGCTGTGGCCACCTTAGACTCAATCCTCCCTTCCCCGGCTCTTAGACCACTAGGAACTATAGGAGCTGGGCTGGGAGACAACTCTTGGAGGTCCAGAAGAGAATGGAAGTAGGGATGTGAATGAGAGTCCCTTCTTAACTCCCAACAGGAGGGCCTGCGGGTGCTGGAGGGCCTGGCAGCTTCTGGCCTCCGCTCCATTCGGTTTGCTCGAGAGGTGCCTGGACTCCGATCTGTGGTTGCCAATGATGCCTCCGCCCAGGCAGTGCATCTCATGCGCCAGAACATCGAGCTCAATAATGTGGGCCACTTGGTACAGGCCAGCCAGGCAGATGCCCGGTAAGTTCCAGGTAGCGCTGCCTATTGCTGATAAGGTCACATTGGGTTGTCACTTTGGCTGCCTGGGGTGATGCTGCCTCTGTCCTTCTCTGAGAATATGAGCACAGCAGAGTGACATAGTAGCCTCTCGGGACCCTGCTTGATTGTTTCATCTGGCAGGTTTATATAATGAATAGTCCAATAATGCAGCTGGGCACTGGTGATTCACACCTGTCATCCTAGCTATTCAGGAGGCTGAGATCTGAGGATCATGGTTCAAAGCCAGCCAGAGCAGAAAAGTCCATGAGAATCTTCTGTTAAATAGCCAAAACTCCAGCTTTAAGCAAAAAAGCCAAGGAAGAATGTAAGGCCCTGCTGGTGGCTCATGCCTATAATCCTGGCTACTCAGGAGGCTGAGATCTGAGGATCACGTTTCAAAGCAGCCCAGGCAGGAAAGTCCATGAGACTCTTATCTCCATTTAGCCACCAGAAAACTGGAAGTGACACTGTGGTTCAAGTGGTAGTGTGCTCACCTTGAGTTGAAGAGCTCAGGGGCAGCACCCAGGCCCCGAGTTCAAGCCCCACAACCAATCAAAAAAAAAAAAAAAATGCAGGGCCCTGAATCCAAGCTCCATTACCAGCGTGTCGCCCAGCGTGCCCCCTACCCACCCCCCCAAAAAAAAAACAAACACAAAAACGCCTCACAACTTGGACAGCTCATATTCTGTGCCACCAAGAAGTACAGACATACATTAAACAAGGACGTGCTTTGAGAACTGCATCTTGTTCTGGGAATGTTTTTAGTATGCATTTACATAAGGTGAAAACAATGCCATTAAGCAAGGTATTTTTTTTTTCTTTTTTTAAAATCTTATTATGGAGGACAAAGTCTTGCTGTGTTGCCTAGGCTAGCCTTGAGCTCAGGATCCTCCTACCTCATCCTCCTGAGTAGCTGGGATTATAGTTCTGAGTACTGACCCCCTGCTTTAGACAATTTTTTTTTTGTCGGTCCTGGGGCTGGAACTCAGGGCCTGGGCACTGTCCCTGAGCTTCTTTTGTTCAAGGCTAGCACTCTGCCGCTTGAGCCACAGCACCACTTTCTGCTTTTTCTGTGTCTGTAGTCCTGAGGAATCAAACCCAGGACTTCATGCGTGTTAGACAAACACTCTACTAAGCCACCTTCCCAGCTGAACTTCTTGTACAACTTGTATTCATTTATTCCCCTGGAAGATGGTCTTTTCACAGACAGTGTCTGTGCTAGGCACCTCTCAATGCCAAGAGTCAGTGAGTGTAAACCTAATAGACAGGCCTTGTGACCCGGGGAGGGGTCAGCATGCAGGTGGACAATCTGCAGGACTTGCGGCGTAAGGCCACTTGAATGTCTCTGTCATTATCGGCGTGTTCATTGTCGAGGCTATATGTAGATGGGTAGACTGAGGCCTAGGGATGAAAATCACGCATCTAATGATCGTCAAGCTGGGCCTGGTGATACACAGCTCAAATCCCAGATTTTGAAACCACAAAGATACCCTGAAAACAAAACGAATGGCCAGAGCCTGAACTTGGGAAGCTGGCCTCAAGTTCAAGGCCAAACCCTGTAGGAGTCTACATGTGTGGAGGACCTCACGGGAGGCTAAGGACCTGGACATCTGGCCATCTGTCCTGTAGGATGCTAATGTACCAGCACCAGAGGGTGTCAGAGCGTTTTGACGTCATTGACCTGGACCCTTACGGCAGCCCCGCCTCCTTTCTGGACGCAGCAGTGCAGGCTGTGAGCGAAGGAGGTGAGGCCCCGCCCCCAGGCTTGAGCAGGGCCGGGTGTTTGGGGAGGGTCCTCACTGCCCGCCCCTCCCCCCCCAGGGCTGCTGTGCATCACCTGCACGGATATGGCGGTCCTGGCAGGGAACAACGGCGAGACGTGCTACAGCAAGTATGGGGCCATGGCTCTCAAGAGCCGCGCCTGCCACGAGATGGTGAGGGGACCTCCCTGCACCCCCGCCCCACACCTGGGACCTGCTCAGCTTCCTCCAGGCAGATCCAGCCCAGGCGGGGAAGACTAGCCCATAACTCACATGAGTAGGAGGTTACATGGTTGGAATGTGTGTGTGTGTGGACGTGTGCACCCTGCTCCTGGGGCTTCAACTTGACCTGGACACCGTCCCTAGGCTTTTTGCTCAAGGCTAACCACTTGAACCACAGCTCCCAGTGAATTGGAGATAAAAGAGTCTCATGGATTTTTCTGCCTGACTGGCTTTAAACCAAGATCCTCATATCTCATCTGTAGAATAGCTAGGCTTACGATGCGTCACCAGCCCTGGCTACATTGTTGTTGTTTTTCTATGATTATGTAATTTCTCCAAAAAAAGTTTTTGTTTAGTTTTTGGGAATCAGGCTCTCATGTAGACCAGTGGGGTCCTCCTGTCAGTCTTCCCACGGCTGGGATTATAGGTGTTAACTACCTTGTCTGGCATGTCTTTTTATTTTTTCCCCAGTCCTGGGGCTTGAACTCAGGGCCTGGGCACTGTCCCTGGGCTGCTTTTGCTCAAGGCTAGTGCTCTACCACTTGAGCCACAGCACCAGTTCTGGCTTTTTTTTGTTTTTTTTTTTGTTGGTCATGGGACTTGAACTCTGGGCCTTGAGCTCTTCAGCTCAAGGTGAGTGCTCTACCACTTGAGCTACAGCACCACTTCCGGTTTTCTGGTGGTTTATTGGAGATAAGAGTTTCATGGACTTTCCTGCCGGGGCTGGCTTTGAACCCCGATCCTCAGGTCTCAGCCTCCTGAGTAGCTAGGATTACAGGAGTGAGGCGCCGGCACCCGGCTCGGTTCTGGCTTTTTTTTTTTTTTGGGTCCAGTCGTGGGGCCTGAACTCTGGGCCTGGGCACTGTCCCTCAGCTCTTCAGCTCAAGGCTAGCGCTCTACCACTTGAGCCACAACGCCACTTCCGGCTTTTTTTTTTCTTTTTGCTTATATGGTGCTAAGGAATCGAACCCAGGGCCTCAGGCATGCAAGGCAAGCGCTCTACCACTGAGCCACCTTCCCAGCCCTCGGTTCTGGCTTTTTGTGTATGTGGTACTGTCTTCATGCATGCTAGGCAATTGCTCTATCACTAAGCCACATTCCCAGCCCAAGACAGTCTTTTTAAGGGTAGTTTTTTCAGGTCTGGATATAAAATCTAGAGTTTCTTCTGTGTTGGGTACTCGACTTCACCTTCTTGGGCCTGTTTTGCCCTCATAGAATGGACCCCATTGGGCTCCCTTGGGCATTTGAAGCAGGGTCGGCCAGAAAAGGGGAAGGTCCTGGCCTAGTCCCTTGAGGTCTCAGACAAGAAGTTTTGCAGTGTCCTCCGCTTCCTGTCCACAGTGCCCACGTGGTACAGGGTGCTGTTGCTGAACCTTTGTGCTTTCTGTCATGTTGCAGATGAGGAAACTGAGGCACTGAGGTGATGCTGGCTTCCCAAGGGTTATGAGAGTAGGGCCGAGGTTGGAACCCAGGGAGCAACCGTGTGCCTGGCTTTTGTACTCCCTGGGTCTGTGGGGAGAGAGTGATCCCGTCCCCTGCACCCCTAGGCGCTGCGGATCGTGCTGCACAGCCTGGACCTCCATGCGAACTGCTACCAGCGCTTCATAGAACCACTGCTCAGCATCAGCGCCGACTTCTACGTGCGCGTGTTTGTGCGTGTGTTCACCGGCCAGGCCAAGGTCAAAGCCTCCGCCAGGTCAGCCTCTCCCAGAGAGGAGAAGAGGGCGGGCCTGAGCTGGGGCGGGGGCGGGCCCAGGGCGAGGGAGGAGCCTGCGGTTGGAAGAGCCTTGCTGGGGCGGGGCCTGTGGCAGGGGCGGGGCCTGCGGCAGGGGCGGGGCCTCGCCCGGCACTCCTTGCCTCCACAGCAAGCAGGCGCTGGTGTTCCAGTGCGTGGGCTGCGGCGCCCTCCACCTGCAGCGCCTCGGGAAAGCATCGGAGGCCCCTGGTGGCCGGTGAGCCTGGGAGTGCTTGGGGGTCTGGGGGGGACACCCGGGGCGGCCCCCAGCCCCTAACCGCCCCCTTCCTGGCAGGATCAAATTCTCGGCCGCCTGCGGTCCTCCCGTGACCCCCGAGTGCGAGCACTGTGGACAGCGACACCAGGTGAAGGCGGCGGGCGGCGCGGGCGGGGCTCCGGGGCGGGGCTCCGGGCGGCGCGGGCGGGGCTCCGGGGCGGGGCTCCGGGCAGCGCGGGCGGGGCTCCGGGGCGGGGCTCCAGGGCGGCGCGGGCGGGGCTCCGGGGCGGGGCTCCGGGGCGGGGCTCCGGGGCGGGGCTCCGGGGCGGGGCTCCGGGCGGCGCGGGCGGGGCTCCGGGGCGCCTTCTCCCCGGTCCCCCTTCATCCGCCCCGTGTGCCCCGGCAGCTCGGCGGCCCCGTGTGGGCAGCGCCCATCCACAACCTGGACTTCGTGGGCCGGGTCCTTGAGGCCGTGAGTGCGAATCCTGGCCGCTTCCACACCTCGCAGCGGATCCGAGGGGTCTTGAGCGTTGTCACCGAGGTGGGGGCCGGCAGGGTGCCCGCCCGCCGTGTCTGCTCGCCCCCCCTCCGGCCCCGCCGAGCCCATGCGGTTCCCCCCCCCTTCCAGGAACTCCCAGACGCACCCCTGTACTACACGCTGGACCAGCTCAGCTCCACCATCCACTGCAACACGCCCAGCCTCCTGCAGCTGCGGTTAGTTCCAGAAAGGTCCAGGGAGGCCCTGGGCCTGTGGGGATGGCCGGGCTCCGGGCAGCCCCTCACCGTCCTGGCCCTTCCCCAGGTCAGCCCTCCTCCACGCTGGCTTCCGGGTGTCGCTCTCCCACGCCTGTAAGAACGCCGTGAAGACCGACGCCCCAGCCTCGGCTCTGTGGGACATCATGCGCTGCTGGGTGAGGGGGTCAGCTCCCAAGGGGCCGTGGGGAGGGGTGGTCCCCCAAAGACCCCTGAGCGCAGTATCTCCTCATCTCTTCCCTCAGGAGAAGGAGTACCCCGTGAAGCGGGAGCGGCTGTCAGAGACCAGCCCTGCCTTCCGCATCCTCAGTGTGGAGCCCAGGTTCGCCCAGGACTGGGGGGGGGGGGGGCTGAGAGTGACCCCCGAGAACATGGGGGGAGCCCCCCCCACGACACTCCCCTACCCAGATTGGAGCCCAGAATCTGGTCTCCCTCTTCTCCGCCTCCCCCTGAGCTCCCAGCCCCCCAGCCAGTTACCTGAGTCAGAGCACAGAGAACTTTATCTGTCTAGATGTGTGTGCGCCCACACATGCGCCAGCCTAGAACTTGAACTCAGGGCTTAGACTCTGTCCTTAAGCTTTTGCACTTGAGGCTAGCCCTCTATCATTTGAGCCACAGCTCCACTTCCAGCTTTTTGCTAGTTAAGAGTCTAACAGACTTGGGGCTGGGAAGGTGGCTCAGTGGTAGAGCGCTTGCCTTGCAAGCATGAGGCCCTGGGTTCGATTCCTCAGCACCACAGAAAAAGCTGGAAGTGGGCACCACCATACCCACACCCACCTAGTCCCTTCTTATCCGTGGGGGGTCCACTCTGTGGTTATCTTCCAGAACAATGTGGACTTAATAGTAAAAGAAAGAACCTTGGTGTGGAGGTGGGCATGTGTGGGTTTAGGGGTGCTCTGTATACCCACATGGTCGCCACCCCAGCCCTCACCCCCACATCTCCAGGCTTCAGGCCAACTTCACCATCCGCGAAGATGCCAACCCAAGCTCCCGCCAGCGAGGCCTCAAGCGCTTCCAGGCCAACCCAGAGGCCAACTGGGGTCCCCGGCCCCGAGCTCGGCCAGGGTGAGTGTGGGGTTGTATGTGTGTGTGGGGGGGGGGTTTGTCCAGGGCAATGGGAGGAAGGCCAGGGGGAAGCCCCACTCGGTGCGTCTGCCCAGGGGCAAGGCAGCCAGCGAAGTGCTGGAGGAGAAACGCCGGGTCCTACAGAATAAGAGGAAAGAGCCCGCGGAGGACCCCGCGCAGAGGGCTGCCCGCCTCAAGGCGTTTCCTTGCAAGCGATTCAAGGAGGTGAGGTGCCATCTTCCTCCCCACTGCCGGGCACCTGGGTACCCCTCCCGCCATAGCGGCCATGGTGGGAGTGAGCTTGCTGGGTAGGGCTGCTGGGCTTCACCCCATCGTCTCTGCCTCTCACCCCAGGGTGCCTGTCCACGGGGCGACCAGTGCTGCTACTCACACATCCCCCCTGCACCCGGAACCTCTGCGGATGCGGCCCCCCTGGACTGTCCAGAGACCCCCAACCAGTCTTCCAGTCAACCAGCGGCCCCTGCAGGACCAGGGGTAGACTGAGCCAATAAAAAGATGTTCCTGCCTGTAATCCGAACTACTCAGGAAGCTGAGCTCTTAGGATTGCAGTTTGAAGCCAGCCCCGTGAAACTCTTCGCTCAAAAACCAGAAGTGGCGCTGTGGCTCAAGTGGTAGAGCGCTAGCCTTGAGCACAAAGAAGCTCAGGGACAGCGCTCCGGCCCTGAGTTCAAGCCCCAGGGCTGACATAAATACATAAATAAGTAAAAATATGTCCCTGCGTGGCCATTGTCTTTCTGCGCAGTGTTCCTTTGGGCCAGAGAAGCGGATTTGCGGCTCAGCTGGGAGCTGCCGCCTGCGGTTCCCGGCGGCGGCCACAGGGTGGCGCTCGCGCCCCGAGCGGAGGCCCCGCCCCTCGGGCGGGGCGCGCGGTGACTCGCGGGCGGGCGGGCGCGCGCTCGGGCCACGCAGCAGCCCCCACGCGGCCTCCCGCGGCCCCGGTTTGTTTTTGGCTTCGCTTTCTCCCGGGCCGCAGTGGCGGAAGCCAGACCGGAACCAGGCGTCCAGGGCATCCGCTCCGGACCAGGTGTTTCCTGAGCTGCAGCCCCAGGACTGCGCGGTTTGGGCCCGGGCTGTTGCCCTGACCCCCAGTGAGGGAAGCTGCGCCCCCTCCCCAGCCGGCAGGGCCGGGGGGGGGGGGGTGTCCTGCGCCCAATGGCTTCTCTCCTGTGTGCACCGAGTCGCCAGCCTCGGGGCGGGCGGACCACAGAACGCAGCTTGTTGGGGCTTGGGATGGAGGCGGGCGGGCGGGGCGGGGCACTCCCGCCTCCCACACCGGCGCCCCGGGACCCCCTTCCCCGGCGGAACCCCCTTCCCCGGCCACACCACCGACCGACTTGACCCACGGTGGTTTTTGTTTTTCTTCCTGTGCCGCGGCTGGGGCTTGAACCCAGGGCCTGGGCGCCGTCCCAGGTCTGTTCCTCGAGGCTGGCGCGCTACCACCCGAGCCGCGGCTCCGCGCCGGCTTCGTGGTGGTGCGTGGGAGATAAGAGTGGGGCGCGTCCCGCCGGGATTGGCTTCCAACTGCGATGCGCAGCTCTCGCCTCCTGAGTAGCTGGGATTACAGGGGTGCCCCCCCCCATCATCCCGTGACCTTATAAACAACCTTGGAAATCACCGCCCGCCCTGACCCTGGAGACCAGTGCCCCTGGCCCCTCGCGGCCAGGCGAGCAGATCAGACGTGGCCCCGTGGCGTGCCCGCGCGGGGGGGGGGGGGGGGGAAGGCGGGAGGACATCAGTGAAAAAGAGGAAGCAGGAGGGTGGGGAGGAGACAGGGCTGGGGCCCCAGGGTCACGCGGCCCGGGGCCCCGGGAAGCCTGCGGAGGACCCGACCTCCATGCTGTCGGCCCTGCCTCGGTCTCTCCCCGGATCCCCGATCGTGTGCTGAGGCCGGGGATCCGCCAGTGTCTGCGGGCACCGAGGGGGGAGGCCAGGCCCTCCGAGGGGGTGACGGCCCAGGCGGGCGCCCGGGGCGGGGCCGGGGCGCTGGGGCTGCCGCCCGCCCGGTTTCCTCCGGGGTCAGCCCGGCTCCTTATCAGGCGTGGCCAGGCGAGCAGGGCCTTATCTGTGGCGGCCCGGCATCCTCTGGCCCCTGCGGCCGGGCTGAGAGGGAGGAAACCCGGCCGCCGGGGGCGGGGAGAGGGCGGGCCGGGCCCCCGGCCGCTCTGGTTCCCGGGACCCACGCTGCCCGCCGCCCGCGGCCGCCCAGGCCCCCGGGAGCCCGGGAGGAGGCGCGGCCCGGCTCTGGGGCCCGACGGGGCGGCCTGGAGGGCTTTCACCAGACCGGACCGCGGAAGCCGCCGCCTCGGGGCCCGGCCCGCCAGCCCTGAGGACACCGAGCCGGGACAACGCGCGCCAGAACGCGGGGACACAGGCGGGGTAAGAGGGGGAGATGGTGCAGCCCCCCTCCCCCGCAACCCTTTCCCAATCCGTGCGTCCATCCCGCTGGGGAGGTCTGAGAGCCTCCCCCTAGTTACCAGAGCACCCCAATCCCGGGAGGCCACCCAGCAGACCCGCAAAAGGAGGGGTGATGCTGGGGGTGAGGGGCAGGGTGGTGCCAGAAGCAGAGGGAGACGTAGGGGTGGTGTTGGGGTCCAAAGGGTCAGCCTGGGGGAGGGGATGGCAGTGTAGGTAGGCTGGTCAGAGGTCGGGGGACCCTGTTACGATGGTGGAAAGCAGAGGGGAGCAGTGTGGTGGTGATGAGAACACTGGAGGTCACACCTGAGGTCCACAGGCCGGCGGGGGGGGGGGGGGGGGCTGGTGACACGGGGGGACTATGAGGAGGGAATCCCAAGGTCCTATGGCACCAATAGTCAATGGGGGGTGTCTCAGGATGCGATTTCAGGGTTACGATCAACTGTGGGGCTTGGGGGTCTCCTGGCTTCCATCCTGGCTGGCAGCTGGGGGTGGGGGGGGTGGGATTAAGGATATTAGCGCAGCTCCCCTCACACACAGCTCATAGAAGGCACTCCAGGCTCAGCCGCCCAGCACCCCGTGTGGCAGGCAGTCCCTGGGCTCCCCCTCCTCCATCTTTGCCCACTTGAACCTCCACTCCTCCTACCCCCCCAGGCACTGCTTGGTCCTCCCCCCACCAGCCTCTCCCCCCTCCTCCCACAGGTGAGCACCCCCTCCTCAGGGTCCATGTGCCCACCCCAAGCCCAGGCGGAGGCGGGCCCCATCATGACTGAAAAGGCAGAGATGGCAGGCACCCCCAGCCCAGCGCCCTCTGGGACCCCAAAGTCTGCCTCCCCGGAGTCCCCCCCACCCCCGGAGGAGGCAGGCCATCGAGGCCCCTCCCCGCTCAGACTGCCCCCCGGCGTGCCAGTGATCAGCCTGGGGCACACCCGGCTCCCAGGCCCAGCCGTGCCCACCACAGAGCTGAGCGCCCTCCGGCCCCCCATGCTGCACCTGTCGGCCCTGGGAGCCACTCCGCCCGCCCTGGCCCTGCACTACCACCCTCACCCCTTCCTCAACAGGTCAGTGGGGAAGACGGGGCTGGAAGGGGACGCTGGAGATGGGGGGACCAGGGTCCTTGCCCACAGAGGCATTTGTGACCCACGACCCCTTACAGCGTCTACATTGGGCCGGCAGGACCTTTTGGCATCTTGCCCAGCAGCAGGCTGAAGCGGAGACCGAGCCATTGTGACCTGGACCTGCCTGAGGGTGAGGGGTGTGTGTGTGTGTCCACGCATGCGCACAGGCTTGCGGGTGGGGGCTGCCCCATCCCCTCCCACAGGGACAGGTATTTCCCACACATCCACGCCAAGCCCCATCCAGGTTATAGCCAGATGCATTCAAGACCACAGCTTCCGCTCCCTGCGCCCCCCTCAAAGGGCCACTGGCCACAGCCGAGACTGGGAACCCCCCAAAATGATAGCTCCCCTGGAATGCACAGCCATGAAAGAGCCAGCCACACAACCATAACCACACAAGTCGGCTAGAGAACCACAGACAGCTACAGGGGAAGCCACACCTCTGCCTGGAGCCACCACAGCCATCAGCCTGGCCACGACCCCCCCTCCCCACTCCCACCGGCCACAGGGGACACGGGGGCACCTCTCATACACCCCCGGAATACACCGCAATGGGGCATCCTCAGCATGAGGGTTCCGGGGAGAGGGTGGCCTGCTCCCCAGGGGATCTCAGCCCCTTCGCCGCCATCGAGGGGCGCGGAGTCGCGCGCATCAGGGCCTCGGTGTCGGCCGGGGAGCCCGGGAGCCCTTGGGGTCCACGTCTAGGGGCCCGGGAAAGGCCGATCTGCACGTGGGGGCTGCAGGGGTGCCTGCCTCGCGCGGCCCGGCCCGGCCCGGCCCGGCCCGGCCGCCCACCCGTTCCCTCCTCCGGCCCGCAGGGCACCAGCCGCAGAAGGTGGCCCGGCGCGTGTTCACCAACAGCCGCGAGCGCTGGCGGCAGCAGAACGTGAACGGAGCCTTCGCCGAGCTCCGGAAGCTGCTGCCCACTCACCCGCCCGACCGGAAGCTGAGCAAGAACGAGGTGCTGCGCCTGGCCATGCGGTACATCGGCTTCCTGGTGCGGCTGCTGCGGGATCAGGCGGCGGCGCTGGCCGCGGGCCCCGCCGCGCCCGGGCCCCGCAAGCGGCCGGCGCCCCGGGCAGGAGGCGCGGAAGGCGGCGCCCGGCGGGAGGCGGCGGCGGCGTGCAAGGCCGAGGCGGCCGCGCGCTCGCAGCCCGCGCTCCCCGGCGGCTCCGACGGCGCCCCGGGAGGGACGGCGCGGCCCATCAAGGTGGAGCAGGCGGCTCTGAGTCCCGAGGTGCGGTGACCCCCTCCCCGGGCCCGCGACGTCTCTGGTTTCGGGGGCGGGGGCGCACCCCGCGTCAGGGGATCGCCCCACCCAGATCTGGAGGCTCTCAGGGCGGGACGCGCCGAGGACTGTGCTCCGGAGTGAACTTTCTGCAGGAGGGACCGGCGGGGTCGCCTCGGATGAGGGCGACAGAGACCCCGGAGGACTCGAGGGTCCCCAGGACCCCCCCCCGCGCAGAGTTAATAATGTTCATTTACCCGCTGGTTCCCCCGCCCCCCCCCCAGTGACCTCGCCGCACCCCCTTCCCAGGGGCGAGGGCAGCACCAACGCCGCGGACGTGCGACGACCCAAGGGGTGCCTGCTCCCCACCCCGCCCTCCCCGGCTGGGGTCGCGAGGGGGCCGGGAGGCTCCGCGCCGCCCGCCAGCGCCCTCTCCCGGCGACCCCCGGGACAGGCGCCCCTGGACGGCGCGGGAGCCCGCCCGCCCCGTGGGTCGGTGGGGACGGGTCGATGATCGGTGGCGTCGGCGGAGGCTCTGGGCGCAGTTTTTTTTTTTCTTTATTTTCTTTATTTCACATACACATTAGCCATTCAATGGAGAAGCCGGAGAGAGTCAGGCAAAGATGGTATAACAGAAGCGCAGTGACGGGGCGGGGCGGGCGGGAGGGGACAGACGGGCTGGCTGCCTACTTGCATTCCGCTAGGACACTGAAAACCCAGAAAACAAAACAGACAGTAAACTACCCTTGTTTCTTATGTATCTCAGTGCAGAGACGGGGGGGGGGGGGGTGAGGGCGGGGAGGGGGAGACCAGGCCGATGGGGGAGCGGAGGGAGGGGGATGCTAAGGGGAAGCACACCAAATCCATTAGTACTATATATAGAGATACTCGTATATACTGCGTTTCTTAGCCTAAGAAGAAACTTGTTTGACGGGACGGGCGGCCTTCGCGGTCCGCGATGCTGGTGCTGGTCGGGCGCACGGATCTCCCGGGAGGGGCCAAAGTGGGGCTGGCCCAGGCTGGCTTGGGGTGGGGGTAAAAGGAGGGGGGAGAGGGAAAGGGGGCGCCCCAGGGAGGGTGAGTGGGGGGGTGGAGGGGAGCAGAGTGCGGGTCTGGGGTGCCCCTCGGGCTCTCGATTAGGGGACGAAAGTTCTCGTGACTTTATTGCTCCTTTATTTTTCTCTCGTGTGCGTGTGTGTGTGCGTGTGTGTGCGCGTGGGGGGGTCCGTTCTGCACGGGCGGGGTGGGGTGGGGGTGGTCGGAGCCACCCGGCCCCTCTGGGACCCAGAGCGCGGCGTCCGCTCCGCCAGCACGGGGGTGAGAACAAGGCACTAGGTCGGCCGGCCAGCGCGGGGCGGGTGTGTAAGGCAGTCGTCGGGGCTGATTGCGGGGGTGGGGGCTGGGGGGCTGTGTGCGGGGGGGGGCCGTGTGCGTGCGTGCGTGCGTGCGCGGGCCTGGGCAGATCGACCTGTCGGCGGCGTGGCTGGTTCTGTTCTGGAGCATGGAGCCTTCCTTCCGGGGTGGGGCTGGGGGGGGAGCCAGGGGTGGTGTTGAGTGGGGGGGGCGCCGGAGGGGGGTGAAGGGGGGAGTCGGGGAGGAAACGACCAACTTGCAGAGCGCGCTCCTGATAATGCTGGTGAGGGTCAAGTTGGCGTCTGGCTCAAAGAAGGGCGCTCGGGAGGGTCCGGGCGGAGAGGGAGAAAGGAAGGGACGTTTGTTCGTTGGCATTGACCTCTGCGGAGGAGGGGGGAGGCAGGGACCCCCGCAGCGCCCCTCCTCCGTGCCCGGGCGGGAGTGGGGCGAGGAGGGGGCGCTGGGCCCCAGGAAAGGGGGGTGCCCGGGGAGACCCGCGGCCGAGCAGCCCGGCCACCGGCGGGTGCGCGCGCCGCTGTCCCGTTCCGTTAAACTCAACAAAGAAGGGGTATGCGTGTTTCTAACAAGTGCAGGATATTTAATTGATTCATAAACTTATGCATAATAGTTTGTGGGTTTCTTAAAACGTACTTTATAATGTAAGAAGCACCAGGGTTTTTATGTTGAATTATCTTAAAAGTAATTTTCTCTCGTCCTTTTCCTTTTTTGTTTCTCCTTTTTGATCTTGTGTTGGTTGATTTCTTTTTAATGTAAAGGTTTGTGTGTGTGTGTGTTAAAATTCGAAAATGTGAACATTTCCTTCAGCCCTCCCACCGAAACCCAGAACGAACGACGAAAACAAATAAAAACCCCAGGTCATCCTCGTCAACGCAGGAAAACGATTAAAAAAAAAAAAAGAAAACGAACAACAACAACAAAAAAGGCAGAAAAAGAAAAGAAAAACCACTCATCGGTCGTGGCCCCGCCCGGGGCGGGGAGGCCCAGTTCTTTTAGCGTCCCCGGAGCCGCGAGGACAGGACAACAAAAATAGAATTTTTTCTTAACAATCTCTAACATACAAAGATAGGAAAACTCTCTGATGCATTGCACTTGGTTCAGTGAAAAAAAAAAGTTCATTTCCCCCATATATATTTTTGTGGGTTTTTTTTTTTCTCTCCTAACACATCCCCACGTCCGTCGCCCTGTCCGCCCCCTCCCGGCTCGCGACCCCCGGGGAAGGGGCGCCCGGCCCGCCCCTCCTGCCCGAGCCCAGCTGCCTGCAGCTTCCGACCTCGCCCGGGCGGCGCCCCGCGGCCCCGACCGTCCTCCCTCGACGGCCGGGGGGGGGGGGGGGCGCTCCCCGCCCTCGGCTCTGACCCTGTTTAGCCACACTGGAGAATCATTGCACTCTGACCGCGCGTCACGCCCGGCCGCCCGGCCCCCGCCCCGCCGCGCTCCCGAGCCCCGGGGCCGGTCCCGGGAGACGCCCGCGGGCCCCCGGCCCCGCAGCCCCGCGCCACGCCCGCCCGCGGAGGCACCGCCGGGAGGATGGGGGCGGGGAGGAGGCGGGCGGCCACCCCGAGGTGCGGCGTCCTACGGGGAGGACCCCGGGCCTGCGCCCCCCTCCCGCCCTCCCAGGGCCACAGCCGCCCCCACCAGACTCTCAATAAATAAAGCCCCTCACCCACCCCTCCGCGGTGCAATGTTGGCTGATTGACTTCCAGAGGATCCTGACCTGTGCTTTGTGTTTTCATACCGTACGAAAGAGAGAAAGAGAGGCACAAGGACTTGGGGGAGACGCGGGGAGGAGGAGTAAGGCACAGAAAGACAAGCCAGAGGGGCCACGTCACACCGGGGTGGCCGGGTGTGCCCGCGCTCCCCTCCCGCCCGGGCCGCCCCGGGGAGGGAGGGCTGGGGACAGCGACTTCCTGTGGTGTGGTACCGAATTGTTCCCGAATCGCTCCGCGAGGAGGGCTTCCCTACGGGACGGGGACGCGAAGAGACCCAAACGACGACTGCCCCACCCCGAAATAAAGAGTACAGACGTGACAGCGGAGACGGGGAGGGCGTGGGGACGCGCGGGAGCGGCCGGGCGCCGCGGAACGCTCGGGAAGAGGACGACCCCCCTCCCCAGGAACCCCGACTCCTACCTAGCGCAGGTGGCGGCCTCAGCTCGGCGCGGGGCTCGGGGTCCCCGGTGGGCGCCGCTCCCTGCCGGGCCGGCCCCGGCCGGGCTGCGCGCGCGCGGGCGGGGGGGGGGGGGGTGAGTCAGGGGCAGGGACCGCGGGGCGGGGCGAGGGCGCCGGCATGCAGGGCTGGGGTGCGGGAAGACCCGGGCCCTCCCTCCCTCACTGGGGCGGCGCCCCTCGGCCCCCCGCGGAGCCCGGGGCCCGTCGGGGCACGGCGCTTCCCCAGCCCCCTCCCCGCCCCGTGGACTGTACAGAGAGGCCCGGCCGGCGGCCCCGGGCGGGACGGCACGACGCCCTTCCCCGCGCGCGGCCCGACTCCAGGGGGCGCCCCCGGCCCACCCAGAGCCGCCCTCCCCGGTCCGGAGCGCGGTGGAGGGGGAGAGGCCGGAGCCGGGCCGGGCGGGAGAGGGGTGGGGCGTGGCGGGGCGAGCCCCAGCATCGTTACAAGCTGGTCCAAGGGCGCCCGGGGAGGCTGGGGCCAGGAAGGGGGGCCCCGCGGGACGGGGCCGCTCGCTGCCTGGGCGCGGGGAGCCCCGCAGCACCCCTTTGCTCCTGTCTGCCCTCTGCCTGGCCGAGCAGAGCGCTCCACGCGTGTTTCTTTCCGCCCGGCTGCCGAGGCTCGGCTCCGCGGAGCTGCGCCGCCCGGGGGCCGGGAGGGCGGAGGAAGGACGGGGCTGGGGGCTGAAGACGCGGAACTTTTGCTCGTCGGTGGGGCTGGGCTGGGCTGGGCTGGGCTGGGCTGGGGTTGGTTTTTTTTTTTTCTATGTCTCAAAATTTCTTCTCTCCCCCTTTGAGGGAACCTCTTCTTTTCATTTTCTTGTTTCTTTGTTGATCTTATCAGAGGAACCAGGACTGGAAGAGGACCCAAGAGAGACAGAGACAGAGACACACAGTGAATGAGAAGAGCTGGGGGCTGGTCCCATCTCCCTCTGAGTTGGCCTTGTGACCTTAGGGGGGCCACTTTGACCCCTGGGGGTTCAGCTCCTCGGGGGAAGGCTGGATGCTGGGCAGACACCTGACCTGCAGGAGGAGGTGCACCCTGCTCTCCCCACCCTCCACAGGAATCCCCCCAGACCCCTGCTCCCCGGTGCGGGAGGAGTCCAGCTGGCCTGCCCGTGGGCACGGTGCCCAGCGGGCGGGACCCCCATGGCGGGCGCTGGCACAAACCTAGGATCTGGCCATGTTTGCAATTGTTTGGGTTTTTGTGTGAGTCCTGCAAGGTGGGGAGGATGCCAGGCTGGGGCTTTTGTACCCAGAGGGGCTTGGGGAGTGGGTGGGGTGACCCAGCTTCTGGCTGAGTTTTCTTTCTGTCTCTTTGGATTAAAAACAGAAATTCCCGTCTGTACAGCGCAGCCAGGTCCCACAGGCTGAAAGGCTGGGGGTGGGGGAGCCACATGGCTTCAGGCCCGAGCTGGGCCGGGCCTGGGGGGAGGGGCAGGAGCCCACCAGGCCTGCTCCTCTACCCTCAGGGCAGCAGACGCTGCAGGGAAGAAGCCCAGGCTCCCTGGGGTGGGCACTGCTTCCTCTGGGCGCCAGCAGGCGGCGCTGTCTCCCCGCACACGGGAGACCGGGAGCACACAGGGTGGACCCCAGGACCTGGCTGCATGGCCACCTCCCCCTTCTAGGGTCCGCTTGCTGTGTGACTTTGTGACCAGGGACTCTCGGCACACCTGACAGCACCTTCTCTGAAGCCACACTGAGGCCCTTTCAGGCTCTGTGTCACCAGCGTTGGTCTGCAGGGACCCAGAAGAGCCAACTGGAGTGCACACAGATACCCAGACACTCCCCCCATGCCCTAATCCCACAGTGATGGCCAGTGTGGAGAGTGGGTGGCCTGCCTGAGCACACGCAATCTCCCATGGGCCTTCGGTGACCAGGCTGGGCCTCCTGCTGCTCAGCAGCTGCTGCTTGTGCTGCTATCATGAGAATCCCGGAGCCCCTGTGCACTGCCTAAGACCCAGCCCGCTGCAATGGGGTGAGGGGGCTGGGGTGCTGCCTGGGTGCAGGGTGGTACTACATTTTCAAAGTAGCCAGAGATCCACATAGGATTTCCTATGAAATTTTGCAGTGTTTAAAGTCCTGCTGGAACACAGGTATGGGCCATTGGTATGGCATGCTGGCTTAGCAGGTGTGAGGCCCTGATTCCCAACCACAGCACCAAAACCAACCAACCACACACACACACACACACACACACACACACACACACACCCCAGCCAGGTGTAGTGGTAATTAATGCCCACAATCGGAGCACTCTGCAGGCAGAGGCAGGAGGAGCAGGAGTTCAAGGCCACTCAAGACTACATTGGGAGACCCTGTCTCAAAAGGTAAAAAAAATTCTGAGTGCCAGTGGCTCATACCTGTAATCCTAGCTACTCAGGAGTAAGACGAACCTGGTTCAAAGCCAGCCCAGGCAGGAAAGTCTGTGACACTCTACTTAACTATCAAAAAGCTGGAAGTGGAGCGATAGAGTGCTAGCCCTGGGCAAAAAAGCTAAGGGACAGTGCCAAGGCCCTGAGTTTAAGCTCAGTATTACCAAAAAAAAAAGACAAAAATGAAGCCCCACCCACTATACAATTATTCCGATATTATGCCTGGAGACAGGCCTACCTATCTCTCAGACTCTGGTGTGAATGGGGACATGGGACCTAGAAATGGCTTCGGAGCCAGGCACCGGTGGCTCACGCTTGTAATCCTTGCTACTCTGGAGGCTGAGCTCTGAGGATCACAGTTCAAAGCGGGGGCCTGGGCAGAAAAGTCCCCATGAGACCGTTATCTCCAATTAACCATTCAAAAACCAGAAGGACGGGCTGGGAAGGTGGCTCAGTGGTAGAGTGCTTGCCTCGCATGCATGAGGCCCTGGGTTTGATTCCTCAGCACCACATAAACAGAAAAAGTAGGAGGTCGCACTGTGGCTCAAGAAGTAGAGCGCTCGCCTTGAGCTGAAGAGCTGAGGGACAGTGCCTAGGCCGAGTTCAAGCCCCATGACAGACCAAAAAACAAAGAACAAAACAAAAGTGCTGTGGCTCAAGTGGCAGAGCACTAGCCTTGAGCACAAAGAGGCTCAGGAACAGTGGCCAGGCCCTGAGTTCAAGCCCCACACTGACAAAAAAAGAAAAACACATGGTTTCAGAGAAGCCAGGCACAGTGGCAAATGCCAGTCATGCAGCTACTTGGGAGCTGAAGGCAGGAGCATCACCAAAGCAGGGACACTACCAACCCTGGGACCATACCAAGACCTCATGAAGAACCAAACAAAGAAAAAGGAGCTTAATGCTCTTCTGAACTGGAGGTATGGCTCCCTGGTGGACGGCCTGCCTAGCAAAGCACAAGGCCCAGAGTTCAAAGCCCAATACTACCAACACGAGAGATTGGCTGGTCCCTGCGGTAGCTGGTAACACCGAAGCTTTCTCCCCAGGGTGTCTGACCACAGGTCCATTTTTCTTTAATTAACTCAAACATAAGCAGCTGCCTGTGGCCATGGTCACCCACGATGGACCCACAGCACCTGCTATTGCACCGCAGCGGGTCCGCTGCCTGGCAGATGCTCCATGCCTGTGCTGGGCAGAGGAGGCCAAGCACCTGCCCTGAGTCCTACCTGGGAACCGGCCAAAAGCCACGTAGAGATTCTGGGGCCTGGCGGTCTAGGTGGAAACCCAAGACCTGAGTGTCCTCAGAGAGGGTGAAGGAGGCTGGGTCAGCCACCAGCTCCTGGACTTCCACTCTGGCCTGCGGGTTCTCTGGGACCTGAAGGTTACCGCTGGCCCGAGGCTGGGAGAGCCTAGCCCTGCATCTCCAGCCCGCCTGCCTCGCTGGCACACCACACCAAGGCCTGAGGGCCGTCCCCCAGGGTCCTGGGAGCTTCCCTGCAGGGGACCACCACCTGGTCTCAGGCTAGGGCCTTCTCAGTTCCAGGCCTGCAGCTGGGGACAAAGGCAGCACCGTGGGGACTGCTCTCCCCACGGTCCTAGGATCAGAGGATCTGCAGCCTTCTCCGCCAGCCCGCCCACCCACCCACCCCTGCTTCCTGAGCCAGGTCCAAAATTGATTAAACTAAGTAAAAAGCACTGCCCAGGGAATGACAAAATTGCTAAAATTCTCCTTTCTTCCCTCATTCTATTGTTCTCTCTCCATCTGGTGCTCTGGGGATCAGCTAAAGTCACTGGTTACTGTGGAAACCGCCCCCAACTGTACCCCACAGCCGCCTGCCCCCAGTCCAGCCCTGGCTCCCCGTTCACTGTGCAGACACACCTGCCGGCTCAGGGCTAGGACCCCGGCCAGCGGGCTGGGCTGGCCGCACAGACGCCCTCCTCCACCGCCAGGGGCCCCAAGATGGGGAACACCAGGGAAAGAAACTTTCCCCAACTTGCCTCAAACTCTGACTTGGCCTCAAAGCATCTAAAGCCAAGTGAGCAGAGAAAGTGAGGGAGGGAAACCCGGGTGAGCGGGGAGGGCCTTGCTGACCGGTGAGCATGCGCACTGAGCCACGGAGAACTGCTGCTCTGGGAGGGGAAGGGAGGAGAGGAGGGAGCCACGGAGCCCAGCCCCTGGTGCCAGCCGGGAGGGGAGGCCGCCTGCTGCCCCTTCCTCTGGCACCCCCTCCTGCCCTCTGCCAGCAGGGCTCTCTCGGCCTCCCTGGCACAGAGCAGAGGGGGCTGGCTCTAGCCCCTGCTCAGAGCCATTGTTTTTCTTCTCAACACCCCCAAGTTCAAGTTCATCTGGGTGTTACATCATGTCTGGTTGCTCCTGGAAACCAGACGGGTCAGACGTGACTCTGGGGAAGGGGGGTGGGAAGCTAGCGGGGCTGAAGTTCCTTCCCCTCCCCTTCTTGCCACTAGGGAGCTCTGAAGTTTGAAGTTTGACAAAGTTTTTTGGCCTTTTTTTTTTTGTTGTTGTTAGAAAAGAAGGAAAAGAAAGAAAGAAAACCCCCTCAAACCAAACACACACACACACACACACACACACACACACAATTTCATTCCACTAACTTTCTCTGGCCTGGCGCCTCAGAGCAGAGGCGGGCCAGCGCCCACAGAGGTGGCCCTGGAGGCCGGGCGGGCAGAGGTGGGTCTCTGTGGGAAGCCTGGGAGAGGGGCTTTTGTAAAATGTGCAAGAGGGAGACCTGGGCACACTCTCTTCTGTAAGGCCTCGCTCTGAGACCCAGACGCCCTCCAGCACCGCTCTGCCCTGCGGAGGTGGCGCACCCTACCTTGCCCCCTGGGGGCTGGGTCCTGCTCATCCTGTGTCTCAGGGCACAGGCACACCAGGGGACCGTCATTGCACATATGCACACACGCATGTGCAAGAGTCCTGGGGCTTCAGGCTCCGGGAGGTGGGGGGCAGTGCCTTCCCTGATGAGTGCTTTTGCAGAGGCCTGGAGCCCTCACAGGGCTGCTGGGGGCTCGAGAGGGGGGCGGGGCTCCAGCCAGCCAGCCCTGCCTTTCTCGTGGTGCCAGAGTCTCTGGGAAAGGAGCCTACCAGGCCTCCTCTGCCCGTGGCCAGCCCACACATAGCCAGGGAAGCTGGGAGGGCCAGGAGCCAGGGCTTCTAGCAGAAGGGGCCCGGAAGAGCCGGAGAGATGCCTCAGGCTTCTATCTTTGCTGCAACCACGCCTGGCCCAGAAAGCCTCTAGCCTTGCTTGGGTCCTTGGCCCCCTTCCCCAGGGCCAGAGCTGTCAGAGCTAATTATCCAATTAACCGATTAGCCAGGGAGCCTGGGGGCTGCCTGGGGAGGCCGCTCAGCTGGGCGTGCAGAAGCCAGCCAGGCTCAGCCCCTCGCCACGTGGAGATGCCCCTCTCCGCCAGTGCCCGGGCCGCGCGGGGCTGGCTCCTACCTGAGACTGCTGTGGGATGTTCAGAAAGTTGCCGTCCCGGGGTCCGATGCTGACAAACCGGTTGGCAGAGGAGGCGCCTGTCGCTGCGAATGCTGTGGAGAGCGGGGGA